AGATGTTACCAAGATGGCTGGTGATCAGAAGTGCTGCTTATTTTCATAATGACCTTCAGGAATTAAATAAAAACACAATGAGTGCCATAGATTAGGAAGAACAAGCCAATTAAAAGCACAACATGCCTTCGGGATTTTTTATTTCTTTTCCAGGAGGCCAAAAGGCATCTGTGGCTGCTGAGGCAGGATGGCGGTCCACCCAGAATCACTGATGAAGGCTGATCCTCTAGCTTGGCTTTAGCAGGGTGGTTGAGGGGATCTGCGCCTATGGAATATTTCACAAGTTGCAGCCCATGCGGGGGGGCAGGGGGAAGAGAACAGTGGAAGGTGAGAAAGCAATCCCTGTGTTTCTTTATGATTCCAATATATAATCAAGCGTTTCGTGGTGGAGGGAGGCAGGCACTAGAGTCTGCCTACAGCCGGAAGGCATGGGGCACCAATTCTCCCATTTTAATATCTGCTGTTTCATTTTATATTCATCATGTCAGCATAATCTGCCTTTATGGGAATCGTCTTGGTTCCCGACCAAATGCGTTTAGTCCCCCTTTTGCTTTAAGTTTGATTGTAATGTGACTTGAAGACTTCAATGAAATGTTTATATGGAAGGACTAGGGGACGAGGAAAGGGAAAATGCAATTGGAAAATCAATCAGCGGGGAATTTCAAGAGCTGGCTTTGGTTATACTGCTGTTTTTTTGACCTGTTTTTAATGGACAAAGGACTGGCTCTCTGATCAAGTATACTCTGTTGATTCCCTACTGCATCCGGAATAAAACATAGTCTATTACCAACCATTCAAAGCCCTTAACTCCGTGTCTGAACTCCATTTCCAACCTGACATTTGCTGCATTTCTACATGTGGCTTCACTACCCTGAGATACTCAGCCCCTCAGCCCAGGTCCAGGCGTCCTTCTGTCCTCTGGGGGCTAACCATATGCCCATCCTCTGTAATGCTCATATCACTACCTTTTAGGATGGTTCTTCTCCAAGCTCAGAGAGTCCTGTCCCACCTTTGATTCCCCAATGGATCTTTGCTGACTCTTTCTTGAATTCTCTAATGAGGCTTAACACTACCTTCTTCATCTTATTATGGGTATGTGTAAGTATGCTGTGCGTGCATGTGCACTTGTGTATATGTAATTGTCATCAGCGATTCAATAATTATTTATTGAGCACTTATTATGTGCCAGTACTTTTCAGAGTACTTGAAATATGGCAGGAAATGAGACATGCACAATTCCTGCTCTCCTGGAGAGACAAGCATTAAACACATATTCAACAAAATACATAAGGTAAATTTCTCATAGTGACAAATGCTGCAGAAATTTGCAGCAAATAGCATGTGGATGTGTGTAGAGAAGCGTACTTCAGCTGAGAGCGGCAGGGCCTCTCTGTGCAGCTGTCCTTTGGGCTGAGAGACAAATGCGGGAAAGAAGCCAGCTTGCAAGCTTCGGGGTGAAAGTTCCAGACAGATTGGACAGAAAGCATATATGACCTGATCTATGCCCTGGCCTGGATGAGGGACAGCTATAATCCTACAGGGTTGGAGCACAGGATGAGGGGACAATGGCAGGATGTGGGTCAGGAGAATACATAGTGTCCTGGACCACATTAAGTGGAGAGTGTGGACATGTATAGAGAGTGATGTGGGCGAGGGAGGTGGGCAGAATTTCAAAATACTATGAGCTTCCTGAACACAAGGCTATGCCTCATTGCACTTCATATTCTGAGCTACTAAGCTGCCTGTAATTGAGAAGGTCCCTAATAAAGTGTGTTGAATGGATAAACAAACACATGAATGAATGATTGCATGCATGCATGAGTGAATGAATGAATGAACGAATGAACAAATGAACAAGGTCTTCTGCTTCCTCCAAGGCAGTTTTCACCTTGAGTTCTCATGGCTCTCCTTCCCACCCCAACAGCAGTTTCTTTTCTTTGTAATAGAGTAAGTCCAGAGCTATTCGCTGTGACTCAATATTTACTGTGTTTCACACACTGTTAGTATCATTTAAAGTTGACTGTCTGCTGACTGTGCACTCATCACCGTGGCAAACAAAGAGCTCAATCTAGTTTCGGTTCATGGGCTAATTTAGTCAAGGAAAAGGAGATAATCTGAGAGCAACCGGCATGGTAGGAATTCCACGGACTGGAAATCCAGCTGGGGACAAAGTCACTAGTGACCTCAAGCAAGTCATTAACTCTCTGTGACCCTCCATTTTCTAATCTGAACATGGGGAGGGTGAGCCCCTTCAGTGGGAGGATTTCAGACACGGGCTGGGGAGAGCCCTAGGAGTGAGGAACGTAGCCAGAAAGCATGTCTCCACTTACTCTGCCTCTGTCTACACCAGGCTGTGTCAACCAGATGTGGCCTGCCCTGGGCCTCTGCCCATGCCACACCGGGGACTCTTAGCACAGGACGTGCCCACCTACCGAGTGGCACAGAGTTCTGGGCTTTTCTGCACTGAGGGAGAAATGGGTGAAGTATTGAGCAAGGCCATTTACCGTAATGTCTTCACCTTGCCTTGGCCCAGTGGGCGGGCTGCCAGAGAAGCTGCTGCCAAGACCGCAGGTGCTGAGGCTGGGAGGTGGGGTGGTGGGGAGATGCCTGCTTCACAGAGTGGGCACCTAGCCAGCCTCCTACCCTGGGGCCCCACAATGAGCTCTCGGGGTTTTGGGGGGCCCATGTTCCCGGAGGCAGCGAACTTTTGTGGTTACTTCCAGCCCTGCTCAACTCGGGGCAGCAGAGGGAGCCCAAGCAGGTTTGCACGTGGACTAATAACTTCCTATGTTCTGGTCACTTTGTGCTTTACGTAGAATGGGGTGGGAGGCCATTGACGGTTTGAAGCAGAGGAATGGCATGCGTTGAGGATTCCTCTGGCTCCTGGTTGAGAACAGACATAGAAGGCAAAGGTGGAAAAAGAGAGTCAAGTTAAGGAGCCCTTGCAATAAACGAGGCAAGAGAGAATGGTGCCTGGCCCACCCAGGCGCTTGCTGTAGGTAGCTGAGAAGGGCTGCATTTTGGATGGCTTTTGAAGGATTTCCTGATGGATTGGGTGAGGAGTGGGAGAGAAAGCAAGAAGTCAAG